AACAGCTCTCCAGGGAGACGAAAGCCGTTCGGAATTAAGTTGTTACACGAATCTTTGGGTTTAGCAACCTGACAGAAGTGCAGGGACGTTTAAAGTCAGTTCAAGACACATGCAATCTAAATGAACCCCGATTGTTTGAACCTTGAAGCACACTCCTTTATGAAAACATTCTGTGGAAAAAACAGTTTCCTATCGCAAACCGTCACGGCAGCCCCAGAGCTGGTGCATCTGTGGAACCCTACTGCTCATGCTGAAAACGATAAATATGCCCGTGTTTTCTCAGCGCTTCACTGACCTCTGGTTGCTCCTGGTGATGCTGGATGGGGAGCATGTTGGCTACGGAGGCCGCTCCGAGCACGGCCATGAGGGCAGTTCGGTGATCCGACACCCTGGATTTCTGCCAGACCACAGCCTGTAACAACACGATAAAACAGGTCAAGTTATTTTTCGGTCATCCTAAAATAAGACCACCTGTGGGATTGCATGCTCGCAAACAGCCATTAGCCACCAATCAAGTCTTCACAATAAACAATTATACTTTGGGGAATGTTTGGATATTACAAAACCGACTGCGCAGGGAGCACTGCATGGATAGATCTTGCCAACTTTTCATTACTTTTCATGAAGATTTTATACCATCTGGCAGCATCAAGCAAATAAGCTACTTGCACAAATGTCATTTCAACGTGAGGAGCGCCGTTACGCATATATTTTCACACCCATGCGTTTGCCTGTCGTTGGCACTTCCACATGAAAGTATATATATCCAAGGTGTTGATTTCTGAAAGCATGCGGTCCGCAGCACACATCTCTGCTATGAAATATACAATTTGGTGACTGTAAAGAGATCAGACTAGTAAACAGCTTTTTGAGAAGTCATGAAACCCAATGCAGAGTGAAGTGCAAAGTTTGTGATACGAGATATGCCTGGAAGTGCTGATGGCATGAAATGAGTGTATGACCTTCCCCCGATGATCTACAACCTGAATGATAGGAATTTAATGAAAGGTACGCGAAGTCTCATCGAGCAAGGCCAGATACGCATGCTATCATGAGGCCAGGCTGTTATTGGACTTGCGAAAACACTCAGAGAACTTATACCACTTAGCTTGTTACTTTAGGATCATGTGGCAGTGTGAGATTCGAAGGCTTAGTGGTTCATCCTGCGGTTGCATTGCTAATTTTTTGACGAGAAACAAGCGAAATGTCCACTTTCCCGGGTTACGCTGTAATTGATGACAGTTCAGCATGTCTAAAGCATGTCTAAATGCTGGAAATATCCAGGCTGTCATCATAACATGCACTTATTATCAAATGAAGGATTTTTCTGCATGGGCAACTTCAAGAGTTTTCCTACAGGACTTAAATTGGTTGTGACCTTGAAACAATTAAATAAACATCATACTATTACATCTATGCATCTGTTAACTGGAAGAGCATGCTAAAATGTCTTTTATCATCTTTGCTGAATAATATCAGGATTTAAAACATGAGATTGAAACTGAAGCACAGAGTCAATGCAGTAGTGAGAAACCACAGCAATAAACAAGTTACATAAGTTCTAATTAACGATAGCCGAACAGTATTAGCACAACTGATATCATGCCCTGTGATGGTTAAATGTCACTGAATGTGGGTAAAACCCTTAGAGAGTAATACCACAGTATTTGTTGATGTGTGACGCCACCTTGTGGTCAAATATACACTTCCGTTCAAAAGTTTGAGGTCAGTAAGTCTTTGTATTTTTTTAAAAATAAGGCTTTTATTTAGCAAGGTTTCATTAAATTGAGAAAAAAGTGACAGTGAAGACATTTACAATGTTACAAAATATTTCTATTTCAAATAAACGCTGCTGTTTCGAACATTCTATTCATCAAAAAAAATCCAGAAAAAAATGTATTTCGGTTTCTACAAAAATACATAACATTGATAAAAAGAATGATAATTAATTAATTACATTAAACTGAGCATCATATCAACATATTATAGGGCTGCACGATAAATCGCATACGATATTTAATGCGCATCTTGTCAGAAAGCCGGTTCTGTAATCAGCGGTAAATCTCCATCACCTGCGTGCTTTCACATTGAGCAGCATTAACTACACAGAGCCGTTGTTCACTGACGAGCTGCGCAAAACCACGTTCATATTCGCGTGATTTTTTGCGCAGCTTGTCAGTGAACAACGGCTCTGTGTAGTTAATGCTGCTCAATGTGAAAGCACGCAGGTGATGGAGATTTACCGCTGATTACAGAACCGGCTTTCTGACAAGATGCGCATTAAATATCGCATGCGATTTATCGTGCAGCCCTAACATATTATAATGATCTCTGAAGGATCATGTGACACTGAAGACTGAATTAATGGCTTCTGAAAATTCAGCTTTGCCAACAACGGAATAAATTACATTTTAAAATATATTACAATAGAAACAGTCATTTTAAATTGTAAAATTATTTCACCATTTCATTGTTTCACTGTATTTTTGAGCAGAGACTTCTTTTAAAAAACGTTAAAAAGTCTCACAAACCCAAAACTTTTTACTTGATCTTTCCAACAACTTGTAATTTAAGACAAAAGTGTGTAAGGTTCATTTTATCCATCATGACATATTCTATTTAAAAATGGTCTGAAGTCCTAAAAGTATTGATATATCTCCAGGTTTAATCCCACATTTTTCAAGTATTCTCAGACTTTTGGGCAACACGCCTCGGTTGACCACTATTCTTGTTCAAAGACATTGTAGTTGCACAGTCAAAACCACAAGACAAACATAACATACCTTGTTGAGGCTCAATGTGATCCTTAACTCAGGCTTAACAACAGCATAGGCCATGAGTAAGTTCTGGACCCTCTTCAGTTCCTCTTTGCATTTCTTAGAGTTGGAATAATACTGCCGTCTGACAGGGAGTTTCCTGAACAGATTTGCTGCACACACAGTGGTGCCTGAGGGAAAAAAGGTCTGTTAGAAGCAGTCTGTTCCCATAAATCAAGAGTATTTAAAAAATGAATTAACAGACACCTACCCTCGCCAAGGTGTGATGGCTTTTGTGAGACGATCTGTCCATTGTGATCAACTGAATACTGAAGGCTAAAATCATCATCTGCGGTTTTAGTAGTAATGACCACCTGGTAGGTGAAGAAAAGGTCAATTACAGAGGAAACATTTTTCAACCTTTGTAATTCAATGATAAAAACGATTTTCATGGACTCAGTGGTGATGCACAATATTTTGGTACCATTGTAGTTATCTGCCAATATTAGCGTTTTTTATTTATTAGTGGCAGATACTGGATATTCAATAATTATGCAAACAATTTCTGCCTATTTGTACATTTTCCACCATCTAGCACTCACAAGTTCTTCTTTAATACCACTAATTATTTTTACTTACATTTAAATCATTAAAATAATTTTAATTTACCTTTAATTTAACATAATCCTTATCAGATTTCAAAAATGTATTTTTTTTTCATACTTTACATTATATTGTAGTCCTGCCTGAATTGATTTCAAATTACTGCTAGTGATTATTTTAGTATGTTTCAGCCACAATACTCCACAATTTTTATATTGTGCATCACTCAAGCAATAAAATCAAACATGAATTAGCGAGACGTAACCTCTGATATGGCACATATGGATGCCAGAGCTTCTCCTCTGAAGCCATAAGTCTCTAGGCGCTCCAGGTCTTCGTGGCAGGAGATTTTAGACGTGTAGTGTTTTACTGCCATCACAGGAACATCAGTAGCTTTGATTCCAGAACCGTTGTCTCTGACTTCAATGCGATCCAATCCATAATTCTCCTGATCACAAGGGAACATGAACACAGATTCAGCACAGCTATTAAGAGTGGCCCCGACAATATTTGGACACTTTGGATTTGATATCAAACAAAGTTTCATCTGCAAACTAAGGATGCTAACTAAAATATTTCTGGTCTAAATGTTGATTTTAGTGGATATGGATATATGAAGAAGTCAGATCACCTCAGGTTCACACAGGTGTCATCCTTCATTTTGTGAAATGTTTTTTTAAAGTGCAACTTCTTTAAAGGAAATGCCAACGGTTTAATATTTTGTTGTCTAATTCAATGACATGAATACATTTATAAGTGTCCTAATACTGGTCAGTATGTTTGTTGATACAACGTGCATTTACCAGTTTAACTTCAAGGCTTGAGGAACCAGCATCAAGTGAATTTTCAACCAGTTCTTTGACAACATTCAGGACAGACGTTATAACCTGAGAGCTGCACAGCAGACGCACAGTCTCAGGTGGAAGCGCCTTCATAGTGTGCTCCCTAAGAAGAAAAATTGTAAAATTGAGACAACAATGGTCACAAACCTGTCATTTTCGCAGATTATTGACAAAAACTGCAGGGTAGCATGAATTCTAATAGGACACATATATGATCAACCGTGACATGAGCATTATGATACGTTAAACAATTGTATTTAAAATAGCCAAATATCTTCTTACTTTATGTAAAATAATAATAATCCGTTAAAAGATAACCAAAAAATTCATAACACAAGTGTACTTCACATGTTTTCACGACTCGCTTCAGTATCGGATGTGACTTTACTGGCGCCTAAATTACGTCATTGTTATTCTTTGCTTTGATTGGACGATTTTTTTTCTTTGTCTCATGTTTACATATTTATATTGCTTATAAATCAATAAAAGAACATTTTAATGGTTATGGCTATCGCTAAGAAAGTATACAAATCCACAAAACTATGGTATAACTATGGTAGCATCTTTTCATGTTATTGGTTTTTTATAATTAGAAATGGTCAAATAAAACTCCACACATTATTAAAAACTGATTAACTAACAGTAGCCCAATTCTTATCCAATAATCAAAAAAATTTGATTTGATGCCTTCGCTAGTGGTGTTTTATTTTGCAAACATCATGACTTTGGTGGGCGTGGTGCGCCAATCTCGCGATGTTTGCTCTCATAATCCCGTTAGCTGGGATAGCCTGTGTGCTAGTAGCGGAGTGTGAGCGGTGAGTCAGCCCGCAGTGCCCGCAGCGGAGGCCGGCAGCGCTCCAGCCTGCTTCACGCGAACGCAAATAAGGTACCGTTACTTATCTCTTATGAATCCAAGTCATTTGTGCCGCTACTTTAAAACCAAATGGGCCAAATTCGGTCGATAATGGGGGGATTCCAGAGCTTTTATTGTTGTTTGAGGTGTTTAATGGAAGTAGAGTGAAACAAAAGCAACTGGTGTTTGTTATGAAAGCAGTAGATGCTAAATAAAGAGCATTGGTCTTGCGCAAAACCTAAAGCAACTCAGTATAATAGCACAGACAGGAGAATAAGCATGTTAAAAGAGTGTTATTTAAGTGGTTAAATGAAAGAATACAGTAAGCTGTGCAGGAATAAGACAATGTTTTGGCAGGTAGCTGTGTTGCTAACTCTATCTGTGTCATGGACTTGTTTATCTCCTGCAGCTGCTACTAAAAAACCAACATGAATTTTTATGTAATATTTAGGTCATTTTAAAGGGGTCATATGATGTTGCTAAAAATAACATTATTTTGTGTATTTGGTGTAATGAAATGTGTTTATGCGGTTTAAGGTTAAAAAAAACACATTATTTTCCACATACTGTACATTATTGTTTCTCCTCTATGCCCCGCCTTTCTGAAACGCATCGATCATTGACGCATCGAAAGCTCATTGGTCTGAAAAGCGAGGTGTGCTGTGATTGGCCAGCTATCCAGTGCATTGTGATTGGCCGAATACCTCAAGCGTGTGACGGAAATGTTACGCCCCTTACCATACTGTGATGCCGTGTCCCGGCCGGAGCGACGAGACAAAACGTCTCCGGTTACTATTGTAACATGGGATCCCTGAGAGCGGGAACGAGACATCACGGAGACATTTCTCCATTATGGGAACTCCTTCCCTTCCAACCTTTCCTGAAGTCCTATTGGCTCACGCCAGTCCAAATGACTGGCCAATTGTCGCGAAGTATGCAAATCGCATGCAAATACTGACGAGCTCGAGAGGCAGTATAAAATGCGGTGCACGCGACAATTCCGTCAGAATCTGATACTGAACGCCGCTTAACTGGTCGAGCAGCGAACACGGTGACCTCTGTGATGTCTCGTTCCCGCTCTCAGGGAACCGAGGTTCTGTCAGGACCACTATCGTCAAAGATGATTGACAATTAGAATACAGTTTGGATTGGCGGTATGGTTCTGTTCTGGGCAAGAACTCCCTGCGCCTCCATGCAGCCTAGCATGGATGAGAGCAGGGAGAGCAGCAATAACCCCCCAGGGTAAACAGAACAGAACCAACATAAATGTATTGCAGATATTGTTAAAGTTCAATCATTTTATGTACACATTTTAGAATTAGTCTGATTCAAGGAGAATCAGAAGGCTGAATCCCGACTGACAGAGGAGGAGTTGGGGATGGAGGAGGGTAATTAGCTATTGAGCAATGCGAAAACTGCTGATAATACTGAGGGACCTTATATATGAATGCTTAGATAGGTGTCGTATTCCCATAGGGAGATGGGGATCAGCTGAAGGTCAGCTGATGCGAGCTTGACTAACGTGACCTGCCAGAACTAACGCTACGCTTGATTTACGATAGTAACCGGAGACGTTCCCTCTCGAGTTTTCACGAGACATCACGGAGACATTTCTCCATTATGGGAACGATATTCAATCCCGCCGTGAGAGAGGCTAGGAGCAGCCTGTACAAGTCACACATACTCAGCAAAGATGGAAAACACAATTCCCACAACCAATAGCGACACTTGTTAGGCGGGCTCGCAGCTGATAAGTGGAGATAAGCCAATGAGCGTCCAAAGCCCAGGTATACGAAATTTGCATATCTGGTTAGTAATAACGTAGGCTGCGCTGAGAACAGGGCAGAAGCAACAACAGTACTGTAAGGGGCTACACAGAGATAACTGTGTTTAGCAGCATAACACATAACATGATAATGGTAGCATGAAGGGAATCAGACATTAATAACAGGAAGCTGCATTGAGTACAGGGCAGATAACAGCAACAATAGCATAGAGGGCTGCGCAGAGTAACTACTGTGTGAGGCAGCAAACACACATGAATAGAAGTAGCATAAACGTGAATCAGTCACTCACCGACAGCACTTGGGAGGCTAAGGACTGAACGTCCAGCTTGTAAAACCTGGCGAAGGTATTCTGAGAAGACCAGCTGGCTGCAAAGCATATATCTTGAATAGACATACCTCTCGACCACGCCCAGGAGGAGGCGATGGCTCTTGTTGAGTGGGCCCTAATGTGCAAAGGGCATTCAAAACCTTGGCTCGTATAAGCAGCCGTGACCGCGTCCACAATCCAGTGGGCAGGTCTCTGTTTTGACACGGCCCGGCCCTTCGCACAACCACCGTAGCACACGAAAAGCTGGTCAGATTGCCGAAAGCTGGCCGAACGGTCAATGTAAATCCTCAAAGCCCTAACGGGGCACACCGAAGTCTGAGTGTCCGCATCACACGAGGTCGAGGACTCAGAAGACAGGGCAGACAGCGAAACAGTCTGCGCTCTGAAGGGGGTAGATAGTGATTTAGGCACGTAGCCCGGTCTCGGCCGGAGAGTGACGCTGCAGTCACCGGGTCCGAAGCGAATACAGTCGCTGTCCACAGAAAACGCATGTAAATCCCCTATGTGCTTAGCCAAAGCGAGGGCAAGAAGAAGTGCACTTTTGAGAGATGGCTCCTTCATATCAATGGATGCTAAAGGCTCGAATGGTGGCTGTGAAAGAGCTCTTAACTCCACCTCTAGGTCCCAGGGCGGGACTGAAGGCGGATGCGGGGGAACCGATCGATTGCCCGCCCAGCGGGGAACGAAACGAGGCAATAGCAGCCACATAGACTTTCAGAGTTGATGGTAGAGATCTACTATCCAGTCTGTACTGTAGAAAACACAGAATATCCGACACGGAGCAAGCAGCCGGGTCAATATGAACATCACGGCACCATTTCACAAACACTCCCCATTTTAGAGCATACAGACGTCTGTATGTGAGAGTGTGTCGAGCACATGGGAATGCAGGGCGCTCGGCTCCTCTGATATCCCCATAGCAGCCACACATGAAGGCTCCATAACTCCGGGTTCGGGTGCCACACCGAGCCGCTTGCTTGAGACAGAAGATCCTTCCTGATGGGGATCGGCCAGGGCGGCGCCACCAGCAGCTCTGTTAGGTCTGGGAACCAAGGCTGGTTCAGCCAGTTCGGGGCGATGAGTATCACGGAAGCCCCCTCCTCCCTGATCTTGCATAACACCATTGGCAATATCTTGACTGGAGGAAACGCATACAGCCTGGCTGCCGGCCAGTGCGATGTCAGAGCGTCCTCTTCCAGCGGGGAGTGAGACAGGGAGAAGAACAGCGGGCAGTGCGCATTCTCACTCGTGGCGAACAGATCGACCTCCGCTCTCCCTTAGCGGGCCCAAATCATCCAAACCGACTCGGGGTGCAACCTCCACTCTCCTTGAGGAATCCCTTTCCTCGAAAGCATGTCCGCCCCGCGATTCAGGAGACCGGGTATGTGCACTGCTTTGATGGAGAGAAAGTGACGGTCCGCCCATAGCAGGAGATTCGCTGC